TGTATCACACAGTGGCCCCACTGCTGGACCTCCTGATGGCACTAGTATTTCTGGCCACTGTGTGATACAGAGTGTTGGACTGGATGGGCCTTTGGCCTGATCCAACATTGGCATCTCTTATGTTCTTATGTTCTTAACCAGCCATATCCACCAGTATTAATGGGTCGGAATTTTCACCAGCAGCTATAACGACTGATTTTAAATGTTTATAATGTAAGTGTTTTATTGTGTTTTAAACTTTACTGTATTATTTAAGATGATGTGACCCGCCCTGAGCCCGCTCACAGGATGGGTGGGATACAAATGAAATAAATAAATAAATAACCTGGAGATTTTGAGGGCGGAGTCTGGGGAGGGGAGGGACCGCCCTCCAAAGGCTACCATTTTCTCCAGGGAAACTGACTCCATAGTCTGGAGAGCAGTTGAAATTCTGGGAGATCCCCAGGTCCCACCTGGACGTCGGCAAACCTATGTGTCCGTGACGTCCTTCGATCTATCTAAATGGCATCGGGCATCTACGGTGAAGATCTGATGGGGGGGTGGGGGGGAATACAGATAAACAACCATCTGGCTGTGGCGTCCCCCGCTTCCCCCCCTCCGCCAAGCCCAGGAAGTCTCTCTTACTGCCTGTTGTGGCAAGAGAGGAGGATTAAATTACTGAGGCTGTCAGAGAGGACAAGTGCTCTGCCATACATTATCGCTATCACTGGCTCTCACCGGGTGAGAGAAACCACCGTAAATCCCCTCTATTGCAAAGCAATAAAAGCCGCTGGCTTTTACAGTCATGACTGCCAGGGCCATTAACAGAAAATGACAGCTGTGTGGCATTCCTCGACACGGCCTGTATCTCTTCTGACAGGCCGTGTGTAAACCTGCCAGTGATACAACAATTGGATCGTGTGACGGTTCCGACTTCAATGCCAGCTTTTCATGGTTGGCTTTCTGTGGGAAGCACCTCCTCTACCCCACCCTGTATATACATGCAAACATACATACTTATGCATATATATATATTAAGTGCTATCAACTCATGATCACCCTGTGACCACCCCACACAGGGCCGGCTCACTCACTAGGCGAACTAGGCAATCGCCTAGAGCGGGCTGGCCCTTAGGGGCGCCAAACTGCACCCAGCCCCGTACTCTGGGAGTTTCTTGATTATTTGTGTTTTTCATTCTTCCTAAAATGCATTTATTTTTTTTAAATGGTGGGCGCACGGGGGGGGGGGGGCAGAAGGGATCCTCGCCTAGGGTGCAAAATAAGCTGGGGCCGGCCCTGACCCCACAGAGTTCTAGTTTGTGATTTTCGAGGCAAGAGATGAGCAGAGGGGGGGGTTTGTCATTACCTTCCTCTGCATCGCAACCATAGTCTTCCTTGGTGGTCTTCCCATCGGAGCACTGAACATGATCGACCCTGCTTAGCTTCCTAGCTCTGACAGGCTGCTAGTTATATATATATAATTGGCCCATACAGTCTAGCCAAGGGTGTTTTATAGCATCATCAATCTGCTGTTGATCTTAAGCTGCTCACGCACTGTGTTTTTTCTCCCTATCATTGGTTTAGAAAAATCCTTCTGGGGGCTCATATTTACTTTTGTTTACTTTGATGCAAAATAAATTTTACTTTGCAGGACTGCAACAAGGAAGCAGTGAATGGGTTGGTTTTATTGGCTAATGACACACACTGCTCTTTCTGCTTGGCTTTGCAGTGATCCGCGTGGATGAGGCCCATAACAAAGCCAGGCGAGATTTCCTCAAGGCCGTGCTTCGAGGATCCGAGCCAAGCCCTGGAAGGTCAGAATGCTTTGGCAGTCTCTTCTTAGCCATGGGGGTTAATTCAGCATTGCATCTGAAGGGGCGCAAAGTTGAGAAGCTTTGGGATTCACAGTAAAGACCTCTGGATGAGGTGTGGAATGATTCCTTGTACGCCTTGGGCCAGTTGTCACGGGTTGGTGTAGATGCTTCTTTGCCCCCTCGCCTGTGATGTAATCACTTTCTTCACTTACTCCCTGTGTGTGTGGATGGATGGATCGATGGATGGATTAGGGCTGCCAGGTCCCCCGGGGGGCAGGGGTTTGCTTGCTCTAAGGGCCCCCAACCTGCCAGCCAGATCTATCGTACCATAGAGTTTTAAACCCGAACGCTAGAGCGTCCCCCACCGACATGCCTGGCATGATGACGTCACTTCGGATGGATGGATGGATTAGGGCTGCCAGGTCCCCCCGGGGGGTGGGGGTTTGCTTGCTCTAAGGGCCCCCAACCCGCCGGCTGGATCTACGGTACCATAGAGTTTTAAACCCGAACGCTAGAGCATCCCCCACCAATGTGCCTGGCATGATGACATCACTTCGGGGTGATGTCATCCTGGTACACATGAAGCTCCCAGACACCCTGGCTCCCCCCCCCGGATGCCAGGTAGGGACCTGGTAGCCCTAGGATGGATGGACGGATGGATAGATGGATACTAGGGACTTTATAAGAATAAATGGATGCATAAATTGAAAGTTTTGGATATTATTTCACAAAAGCTGGTTTCATAATAGGTGTCAGCCTCTAAAGCATAACTGGCTTTAAAAGGGGGTTAGACAGATTCATGGAGGAGAAGTCCCATCAGTGGCTACTAGCCACGGTGAGTAAAGGGAACCTATATTCAGAGGCAATAAACCACCGAGAACGACGCTAGCTGACAGCGTTGGGGGAGGGCCTTGGCCTTTATCCCCAGTCCGTTGGCCCTCCAGGGCAGCTGTTTGCCACTGTGTGAAACAGAATGCTGAACTAGTTGTCCCACCGGTCTCATCCAGCAGGGGCCTACTTATGTGCCTGTGATTCAAAGTCCAAGGAATGTATGCAAATCCCTCCAGGTTAACTGCCAAGCCCCATGCTTGTTACGAAGGTACATGATTTCATCTGATGGCGTCTGAATCTTGTGATGGGGGGGAGATAGCAACAACAACTACTTCCCCCCACACACACACACTTGTGGTGAATAAGCCCAGCTTCTTCTTTCTGAGATCCCCTACTGCACTGTGTCCGCAGTTAGAAGAACAGCTGCAGTTTCAGCATGTCGTGTCAGAGCCGCCGATCATATTTACAGATGAGCGGCATGGAATTGAGGACGGTAGTCTTTGCTTCCTCTGTTTCACTTTAAGATCGAGCTTCATGACTTGGCCCGGAATGCAAAGGGGTTTTTGTTTTAAATGGAATCTGACAGGAAGTGCCACAAAGTGATCCCTTAAGACCTGGGAACTATCGCATCTAAAGCACTTTGAAGTTCAGAAGGATATCCCCCCCCCCTTTTCTCATTTCAGCAAACAAGCAAAGGACTTCCAGATTTACTGCATGCATTAGACAGATGGGTAACGTTGCCAGACTTGCAAAAATCTCGAATAAAGTTACAGATTTTTTCTCTCTCCAATAGTTCTACATCTTGGACACAGATCATTGTTTTCTAGGACAATCCAGTGACTAAAACGAGATCCGTCATGTTCGGCGTCTGAAGTTCCTTGCAGATCAGTACACTGGTAGTACATGGAAAAAGAGTACTGTCTAATTAAAGTTAGAAGTACACATGACGCGGACTTCCGGTTGATGGCGGCACGCTAGCAGACTCACCTACTGGACCTCCCGGGGGTGAAGCTGTGCTCCAGCCGAAGAAGGGGGTGTGCTGGATCGCAAACCCCCCCAGAGTCCCGGCGAAGGGACACTGGCCATGGAACTTTCAAGAGGCTGCCTCTTCAAGGGCGGAATGCCTGAGATTTGAGGCGCCTCTTTGTTCCGACGGTTCTCCGAGCTGTGAGACCGAATGGGCTTAGCGACGCTAACCGGGGCGAGCAACGGAGATCACGCGAAAGAAAACGAAATGAAATGAAAACGAGGTCGACAGACCGATTATGAACGCGAGTCGAACTTGCAACGATTAAAGAGGAAAAAGTAGCTCCCCACCCCACCCCACTGAACGGGAAAATAAAAACGAGTGGGGGAGGGACGCCTCCTGTGCGCACGAACTTTTGAGCAAATGAGGGGGGGGAGCAGAAGAAAACGCGAGGGAAACTGTCTAGAAGTACAAACTCTAGAAGGCGAGTTTGAGCTGTCAAGCGCACATTCAGAGACTTTTAAAAAGTTTGTGAAAGTAAACAAACGATAAGGATGGCGGGGAAGAGGGACAAAGAAAGTCTTTTGAAAGCCCAAAACCGGAAACTACCAGTGAGACGGCAAAGGCTGTAGCAGATTACATGCGCCCTCTACTGGAACAGCTGAATAACTTCAAGGAACAGGTGTCCGTGGTAACTCAAAGTATTACTGCACAACAAATGCAAATAACTGACTTGATTCAAATAATGAAGCAGGATGCTGAGAAAGTAAAGGAAGTGGCTGCAACTACACAGAAAGTGAAGAAGAAAGTGCAAAAGTTGGAAAGGAAGCAAACCTCCATGGAAGATCAACTGCTTCAAGTTCAAATGGAAAAGGCCAACATGGTCCTACGTTTTCAGGGCATGCCAGAGAACAGAGGGGAGAATCTTAAAGAAGTGATGTGTGAACTATTAGCCCCAGTGACAGAAATAAAGGCAGAAGCGTTACTCAACGATATGGATGTGGTCTATAGATCATATTCAGGATATATAAAGAAAAACAATCTGCCTGGGGAAATTGTAGTAAGATTCTCGAAGAGGCATGTCAGGGATGAAATCCTGAAAGCGGTTGCTGGAACACCCCTGAAAGCGGGGGGAAATACCATCAGAACGCTAAAGGATATTCCATTTGAAATAAGACAACGTAGAAAAAAATACAGAGAACTTGTGCTTTTTCTTCAGACCAATCCAATTGGATATAAATGGCTATTTCCAGAAGGCGTAACTTTCAAGATCAAAGACAAGAAAGAAAAGCTTGACTCTGTTCTTAAAGCCAAAGAATTTCTAAGGGATCAGCTGGGAAGGCAAGAGGACAAGAGGACAAGAAAAAAGAAGAGGACAGTAAGTCCAGTGGCGAGCCGGAAACTGGTTCTTCTGGAGAGGACTCTCGGTTGGAGCAAGGGGCGGCAGCTGCAAAGAGCCCCTACAAGTTGCGGAAGAGAAGGGAAAAGAAGAAGTGAAGGCTGAAGGACTCTGAATTGTGCCTTTGAGATTTGGGACTGTGGGATGATTGGGGGTACTGCTATTAGACAGTTAAAATTTAAGCTTGGAAAAAAGGTTATGAATGATTGACTCAGTTTATAAATGAATTCAACGTTGAGAAGATTTGATGTATCTAAGCTAGTTGGAGGATCTCCTCTCTTGGGTTTTTAGTTAGTAGTGGGTACTTTACTTTCTCCTGTATATGTAGATCCCCCTCCCTCTTTTTCTATTGTAGTTTTTTGTAGTAAAGAAAATCAATAAAAAATCCCCTCCGGGGGCTCAAAAAAAAAGAAGAAGTACACATGACGCTGCCTTCTAGTGGATCAGAACATTGGTCCATCAAAGTCTGTATAATCTTCTCGGACTTTCCAAGATTGCAGTTGGATGTCTTTCCCATCACTTCCTACCTGATTTGTTCAGCTGGAGAGGCCTGGGATTGAACCTGAAACCTTCTGCATACCAAATAGATGCTCTGCCACTGAGCCACTCCTATACTTAAATCGCAGTCAAATCAGCATGCTTAATTGGATTAGCATCCATAAAGGAGCAAAGAGTCAAGGCAGTTAAGCCCGCTGCATGAAAGCATCGTTAATACAGTTGCCCAAAGCATCCCGGCTTTTTCCATATTGTGTCCTTGAAAAACCTCCAAGGAAGGAGAACCTCTCAGGCCAGCTTATTGCATTGCTGAATTTCTCACAGCGTAACATCATTAGGTGGGTTCCAAGTTTCACTGCTTTTACCAGGGCTGTAACGCACACAGTGGTGAATGCTTGTATAATATACTTCTCAGTGCTTGACTTGAATATCAACGTATGAAGTCAAATATACTTCTCAGTGCTTGACTTGAATATCAACGTATGAAGTCAATCCTAAAGTCGGACTCCTGGTCTATCTAGCTCGCTCTTGTTGACACTAACAGCCAGCTACTCTGTAGAGCAGGGGTGTCGAACTCATTTGTTATGAGGGCCGGATCTGACATAAGTGAGACCTTGTTGGGCCGGGCCATGTGTGTCATAAAATGTAATGCCAGGTAGCAGAGATATAAACTTTATAAAGGACACAAACACAAAGGGTTTTTAAAAATAAAAACATGCTTAAAACATTAGCACTCTTGCAATATTTTGTTTATTTAACAGTGTCTGATAACTGACACCTCTTGTTCTGAATTACTGCATCAAAATGTGCTGTTGCAATCTTGAGTATGCTGTTCCGGTGTGTATCTGTAAGCTGCAAACCTACGATGATGCAGCGGCAGCAGAAGTGGAAGAAGAAGCAGAAGACAGCCAGTTCCACTGCGTGCCTGATAGAAGCCGTCCGCGGGGGCCTAATCTGGCCCCCGGGCCGCATGTTTGACACCCCTTGCGTAGAGTATCTCGAGAAGAGAAAGGTCTTTCAGACAAGAACGTTTATAACTGCCTTCTGAATGCAAAACGTGACCTCCACCACTGAGCTGTGGCCTCTCCCCAGAACAAATAACATAAGCTTGCTCCAGACCAAACGTAGTGCTATTTTAGATCAACTTCACCAGATGTAGAGAGAGAGAGAGAGAAATGTTACCAACATGCTCTGAAATACATGAAAACTATCAACTCTCCCTAGAAGCTAAAATGACTAAACCGAGGCTATCGTACTTCGGTCGTACTATGAGAAGACAAGCGTCACTGGGAAAGACAATAATACTAG